ATGCTCTCGTTACCCCTCTGTGGTTGCGGGTGTCCGTAGGCGGTGCTGATTGCTTACCATCAGGTAATCAGCTCATTTGACGTAAAAAAATTAAACCTATCACATAAAAAAATTAAAGCTTTTGAAATTTATGATGACTAACATGTATATAGGTATATATAACCGTCATTATCAAGCGTCAGTTTTTATTTATTACATATTAGATTAAAGATTATATGTGAGATTATTTTCACCATTTTAACGTGTAGCTAGTTTTTTGGTATGGGACTGCACTTTCACTAACGGACAACGTGTAACGGTAAACGTGTTCTAGAGTGGAGACCACGTCTAGGCAAACGTAGTGTAGGGCGCCCTCCAGCTATGTGGACTGACGGCATCCGTAGGGTGGCTGGCAGTGATTGGATGAGAAGAGCTGAACATCGAGCTCAGTGCCGTGCAATGGGGAGGCTTATGTCCAGCAGTGGACGACAACAGGCTGATGATGAATCTATTTTATTTTTACCTTGTATATACCAAGATCGTTAGTTAAAAACATGTTAATTGACATTTATTCAGCTCATTAATTCTATACCCTAATTCTTTTCACACGGTCAGACAAAAGATGAAATGTCCTGAATGCGCACCCCTGTAAGCTTTGGTAAATTACACCAGCACAATACGCCGTCTTTGTACAAAATTATAATATTTACGTCGCCATAACACCGTGCTACAGATTAACATAATTTAATACAATATTCCGCGGCACAAATTTAATAGACTTTATTAAAGAAGCTGTGGTCATTTTCGTATTAAGTGTTATTTATTTATCAAGTTTACCAACTGTTAGTTACGGTTATATATGATATACATTTATAAGTCGAATTTATAGTAGGTTAAGGGCTGATTTTTCAATAGTCAGATAACATTTATCTGAGGAATAAAATTGTTGCTCTCACTGTCTCATACAAACATTCTGACGCGACAATATCATAATTATTCCCCCGGTAATCAGTCCTTACTCAACTAGCCCGTTAATAAACTGAAATTTTAATATATTTAGCTGCGTCATAAAAAATATCTTTACGTATCAAAGTTTGCTACGATTAAACAAAATATAATTAATTGCTTTACAAAATACAACAAAGCGTATCTTTTATAGAAGTTACATCATACGACTTTATGTACTTTACCGAACGTGTTCCATGCACCGCCGTTGTTGAGTTTGTTTAGCGGATCCAATGAAAACAGTTTGTTAAACATGCAACGCACATAAATACATTTATTGGAAACTACGTAACCATTCACTTGGAAACTGTACAAACGAATATTTTAGAAGAATGCTTAATAAAAATATCATTTAAAATTGTTATGTTGTTAATAAGTTTTTATACTTTTTTAATTGGTTTCGTTGTGTGTAGTTATTATTTTTTTAATTTACTTAATTGCCAGTCTGAAAAAATCAATATGACTTGTTTTTTGTTTACTAGCCTGTAATGTCTTACTGCTGGGCAAAGGCCTCCCCATCTCGCTTTCACACCTCCCGATCTTTCGACCGTGTCCATCAGTCTCAATGGTAGGCGTCTAGATCGTCACGCCATCTTTTAAATTTATACGAGTAGGTAGACTAGAAGATACCTGGATGACTGAGCTTTGATCGTTTTACTTTATATAATAAAATCTAGCTGGGCTATTTCGTCATTAAACCCCTTTACATACAACGTTTCATCGAAATTATTGGAGTCGTTTTCCAGATCCTGTGACCAACAAATAATAATAATAATGATAGAGGAACGGTAAGAATTGAGTCCCCTATAACTTTACTCACACAGCTAAACACATCATTGTTGTTGGTTGACGCTGGTTTTTTTTTTGAGGCTGTGGTCTCTCTGGTCGAGCCACCATTGTACTTACCAAGGTATTTTAATAATTATTTTCCGCGTTAAATAATATTTTTTCCGCGATAGTACCCGCGTAATTATATGTTGTAAACCATTGTACTACATAATAAAAAAAAATGTACTTCCTAAATTTCCCTGGTAGAGAGTCAAATCTTCCAACGACACATCACTAAATGACCCGTAAAATGTGCGGATACGCCTTATTACGAAACGAGGAAAGTAGCCGATGTCTGCGGGAGGTAAAGACTCATTACTAGCCAAAGGTCAGTGATCGGTCGCCAGTAATAGGAACGTTTAGCGAGTAGTTAAACATATTATATCTTTTAGTATCCAAGATATGGGTAGTAGTAGTACCTCTATTAGTAAAAGGATATCTCCAGTCCAATTTCCGAGCGTTTATACGTTTTTTCTGAAATATTCTCAGTGTTTACTACATAGTACGTAATTTGCCTGCATCTCATAATAAAATTGATGAAAAGTATATATACATTGTAATTATGGCCCTCTGCATCCCCTTATTGTGTTTTAAAACCTTTTAAAGGTTCAATGGCTCAATTTTATATGACGTATGGGTGTAATTTCGCTTATTTGTTTAACGCAATATAATTAATTCAAAAATTACAACGCCATACTATAATTTTGAAACTATAACATATATGAAACAAACAAAATCACAAAATCATTCAGGCAAAGTTTTCACCGTAAACATATTATGTTAATTGCGCTCGCGACATAACTAATTCGAGTTAACTCGGAAAACAAGCTCGATATAAAGTAGTAACGGGCCGTCAGACGCAGCCTCCCGCGGCATAACAACCACTAATAGCCTTTATACACTTTCTTCACTCTTATTTTATAGTCTCCTGTAGCGATTCAAACGATAAAAGTTTAATAACAATTAGCGTCGAGTAAATTGCTTTAATGAAATATTTAGGTCATGTTTTAGGTTTTTGGGCTTTGTAGTCGATGCTATTGTGTTGTTTTTATTCATCATCATAACAACGTATAATAAAAAAATGTATACTTAACAATTATGAGTTATAAAGAAATAATTACATAGATCGTTTCTGTTTCCAACAAATTTAACATTACAATACTTGTGAAGAGTCAAGTAACCAACTAAAATCTTTTGTCGCAAGTATAATCATCCGATAAAACAGCCATCAAAGCAAACAACATAATAATAACTTCTTCACTGAGTTTAAAGGTCGGGTTACTTAGCACAACTACGCAGTGTCTACGCCGTAGCTCGTGACTACGGCTACGGTTGCTACGCCGTAGCAGGCAATCGATCGGAGTCTACACCAAACTAATCCTAATGTAACTTAACTTATAATGGATTTGTTTGAGAAAATAGTTCTAGCTTAGCATTTTAGCATAGGTTTTCGTACAAAATAGAATTATTCATGACGGTTATCTCTGGCAATTGTGATAAATGTCGCCAGTGTGACATGATAAACGTGCGAAATACATAAAAACAACATATAATTCGGGTCTATTCGTTATCGCCCACGCGTGACATGCGACGCGACCCCACTATCTATCATGCAAACATTTACCTAAACTAATATTTCATATAATTCGGGACACACTATCTTTTGCTCATTTTAAGGAATATATTTTTGTTGCAAAAAGTATGTTAATCTAATTATTAGCCTTACCGGTTAGAAGCACAAAATTAATGACACTTAACTTATATGTAATGCTGCATTTAACATTTCTTCAAAAAAAAAACATAGCTCAAGGACTACTCCAATTCTAGTCTGGTCAAATAGCTTTATTAATAAACGATACCATTTTCTACATTCAAAAAAGAGACGTTACTAGTAGGTCCAGAGCAACAATAAAAGAAATACGGGGCAAAGAGATGATATGTGGGTGCAATATTTCTGATAAAATGGCCGACAAATACAAATATATTGAATCGCTCTCACTAGAAATACTTTGGAAGAAATGTGAGCTTCGACCGCGTATAATGGATCGTGTGGTATTTCAGTATTTGAGCCTCGACTTCATTACTGAAAGTTACACAAGGGTGATAATTATGAAGTTATCTCAAGAATATTTAATATTATAACTAGATGTAAATGAATTGCGTGTTTACTTAATATTGTAATCAGTTTCTTAATCAATAATATATGTTTGCGTAATGCAATAATACAAACATAATTATGTTATATTTTGAAATGTTATCATTAAGATAAAGGTGTCGCAAAACTTAACAAATTTAACACAATATTAAAACCGGACCGTGAGGGTACAGTTGTTTAGCTGTTATTTTTTTTAATAGAAACCTTGCTATGCCTTTTCTTCTGAATCATATGTAGGTGCGTTTAAAAATACAATTTCCTATACACATGATGTTCAGGCCCGAAACAACAACTTTTGGATAACTTAAAGAATTGATTTGTGGGGGAACTGAAACCGCGAGACGACGTGCGGCAGCTATCTTCAGTGGTTGATTACAGTGAGATAAAAATTAAGTCATGAAAAATATGTAGATATTCTCGTTTCATTACATCAGTTATATTAAAACATGTCATAGAATATTACAGCAAGGTGAGGTCCTAAGTTATAACCTGAATGTCTACACAAGTGTCAGGTGTAAGACACTGCACAAAAGGTGTTCTTACCCAAGTATTGTTCTCAAGGGACTCCACGTCTAAGATGTAATGAATACTAAGCTTTGCGATTGTATTTCGTAGTGTACACTAAGTTACGTACTAAATATACGGGGTGTTATTTGAATGAATGAATACGTACACGTTAAAAGATAACTATAAGTAGTGGAAAACTTTGGTTTAAAATAAAAACTTCTTTATAACGAATAAAAACGACTAACCGTTTAGTCGAAATTTAAATATGTTGGTCATAACATGTCGGTTATTCGTGAAAGATTTATATTATTTAAGAAATATTTAACAACATACCAATGTATGTATTATATTATTTTGTACCAATTCTTTTAAGAAAATATATGTATGTGAGTTGTCATAATATCATTATGGAATAAAATTTGAAATATATTAAGTTAAATTAATTAGCATTATAAAAATTACATGGCATAATAAGATGCATTTGTAAATGTAAAAATAACGTTGATAATAATGTGTAACCTAGGACTTACTGTGGCTCGTGTTCTGTAAGTAGTTCTTCAAAATGCAGTCGCAGAGTATGCGCAGGCGGCGCTCGGATCTCACTCACGCACTCCACGTCATCAGGGTACGGGCGGGGGAAGCCAGGGCTCGATACTATAGCGTGCGGGTGCGAGTGAGACAACACTATCGTCTCGTTGCATAGGATTTTTGATGCTATGTAGGGATCTGAAACAAAGCAAAAATATATGTTAACATCTTATATCTCTCACAAATCAATGTGTTCATTGAAATAATTGAAACAACGAATATTTTTTTAATCAATTATTAAACAGCACTTTTACAAGTAAATATGTATATAAACTAGATGAATTCGGCATTTCCTATCTATTTGGAGAAGAAATGCCGAAACAAACTCAACAGTCAGTATTTTTGGTGAAAACTAAATAAAATACGTTTATTAGTTTAAAAATAAAGTTCCTATTCACTCAAGAAGTAACTATGAAAAGACATTATCAGTGCTTTATTAGTTAAACATCAACGTACAGTGTAAATGTAACATTTTATATAATTCGCTAAAAATAACAAGCATTTTTACACAATTGTGGATGTTTCCAACAAACCTTACAACATTTTATAAGTATAATTTTGGAATTATAATAACACGCTGACAAAAAAGACAACGTCATTTTACATATATACAATACTCAAATATGTTTAAAGAAAATCCGATAACAGGAAGAGAAGCAAAACAAAATTGCTTGTTCACTTTTATGTACAAAATAAGTAATTTATTTAAAACAAATCCAATTCTTTTACATACAAAACAATGGACAAACAAAACAAATTTCAATCCGCAAAACTTAAACCAATAAACATGTTTGAACATGTCACTAGAAATGAAACAAGTTTGAAATGTTTTGTACGATTTGTTTTAAAAAGTATCTTTGTGCATATGATATTGTTGAAGGCAGTTTGTTGTTCTCATATCGATGGTTACTTTGTTCCCAGCTACATCGACTTTGAAACTGGGTGGTCTCTGGAAAACTTTCCAATGAAACGGACAGATAGAGAATACCTGTGTATTCATAGGTACAGTATGTCAACATACATATTTGCTACGTGGACAAGCAAATAAGAATTCTTATTTTATCTATACTAATATTATGAAGAGGTAAAATTTTTAAGTTTGTATGTAGGGGGTAATTTTTGGAACAGCTGGTCGGATTGCCAAAATTCTTTCACTGATATATAGCTACAATATTCCTGATTGCTATAGGCTTTAAAGATCCCGCTACAATCAAATGGAGCCGAGCAGCGGGTGAAATCGCGCGAGAGTAGCTAGTATTGTAGATATAGAGACTATTGTTGTAACCTGCAAAGCGTAGCCACGAAGGTTGGGCGACCGTCTGCCATGCAACTGATTTCCGCATAGAACAGCTCTTTGTAAGATCCACAAAATGTTGATCTAGGTGTGTATTTAATGTGTATGTGACATTATATGTAAAAGCCACCGCAACACATGAGAAAATCTTGGTATTTAAAAACCTAAATTGTTTAATTCTTGTGTGTTATATGTTCCACATCCGTGGGTTGGGGTCGAATCTGTAAAACACTGTCTGATGTAGAGTAGAAGAAGGAACGGGGTGTTTGTAAGTCAGTAAGATTACAACACCTCAGTTAGTCAGTAAGGCAAATGAGCAGACGGGTTACCTGATGGTAAGCAATCAGCGCCGCCCATGGACACCCGCCACGGAGGAGTCACGAGTGCTTTGCCGACCTTTTAGGGATTTATATATATTTGAACATTTAGAAACGGGGGAGGAATTTGGAAGGAGCCTCCGGCAACACAACGCTGTGATTGTTTCAAGCCGGTTTTCTGTGAGGTTTCTGTTGCTCCGGTCGAGCCCACTCATTCGTGCTTCGGCACGGCTTTCCAACACTTAAACACCAAGACTTACTTAGTTTTACTAGTAAATTACATGCTGTTAATTCTCAAGTACATGTTAAGTATAGTTACTTAGTAGTTCTCAGACAATTACCGCGAACATCAACCAAGGGGTAATAAATCAAACGGCCACTCGTTTACGAGCACCGCAGGCTAATTATTTACTTAATAGCCTCTCTCTGATGTGATTTACAGAGATCTGGTGTTCTTTATGAGTATGCTTTTTATTTCTTTTGTCTGGAAACTGGAAATCATAATTGTGTAATATATAGTTATTCAATATTATGCAAGATTTCCGAGCTTAGAGGTATCCATTTCGATTCAAGAAAGAGAAGATTATAGTTAGATATTTTTCGTATTCTAGAAACTCCCCAATGATAACATGGAGTCTAGAAATATGCTCACTTTCATTTTAGGTCAAAAGAGTGTCTATTTTCGAACAATAAAATTGACATTATTATTTGTTCATTTATGGAAACAATATCGAGGAATAAAAGACAACGGGCGTGATCTTCTTTGTCTCAACTGAAGCCATCAATTCAGTCCCCGTTAACGGTCACCCATCTATTACAAGTTTTTGTAAAGCGTAGCTTAACCTTAGTGAGTTGTAAATAGACTACGAGATAACTAACTATTGCCTCCATTATATACAACTGCAAGACCCACTGCACTTAATGTTACTTTTCCATTAACATTTCCCATTTATTTTCACACAGTGGTCTGGCCTCAGATACAAAAGCCTTAATAGCCGGGGACGGCTTCATTAAAACACAATACCTCCTTTTTTCCATCTTGTCCATTTTTTTTTAACTTTGTACATCGGCGTCCCTGACAGGGCATTGTCCAAAGTACTGTCGCACGCAACCATTGTTTCTTGTTCGCTTCGACTGTTTGTCTCGACTGTACCCAAGAATGGCGACCACTACATTGTCCCTTTTATCTATCATTGTACCAGTTGTGAGACTTTGATATTTTTACTGGAACGTTTGTGATTTATATGTATGTTTGTGTGTTTGTTTTTATTTGGAACTATATTATGCTACATACATAATATAGTTCCAAATAAAAACAAACCGGACAACAACAAACAACAGTACCTAGGTATGTTGCTATTGCTTTTATGTTTGCTAAATTTAATCTCGAGTTGACAGCTAAAGCTTTTTGTTGTATATAAAAAAGGCAATGTATCAACTAATTGGGTGATGAATTTCAGGTTAGATACCGAATGTAGTATACGCAATCTGTGCATACTAAATCTTTTTTATGTTGCCCAGCACTATGATTTGGTCCCATGTCGTGTATGCGTTTCAAATCATGCAATTTTACATACACATCACAAAAAGATGCAAAAGAACAAATTGTATAACACACAAAGACTTTTTTCAATAGTAACTATCGTGAGACATGCTGTGTTTATTGAAAATGTGGACTTAATCACGTGAACGGACTGAGAAAATCTCTATTAGTATCAAGTAAAGGCGGCGATGTCGCGTCAGTCAGTTAAAGACTTGTACCGTGAGGGAACCAAACCCGCAACACGTTGCACGGCGGCCGAGCGTCAACGCGTGTTTTCCTGGACTCAAATTACGACGAGGAATATTTTTACATTATTATGAACAACATTAATTAATATTTAACTGGGCACAGAATTGATGACGAACAAGAAATGTTATACTCAAATACTGACCTTGGACCCTCAAAACGATACAAGTACCTACATATAAGTGAAGAAATCACCGTAGAGTTTTACCTGACAAACAGATTACCTGATCAGGTAAACACGGTCTCTCGCCTCCCACTTGGATAAAGATCGCAGTCTCAAACTCCTACGTCTCACACAATTACGCATTCCTAACACGTTCGAACTCCCTATTGACTTGTAGCACAAGCATTCAATATAACACCTGTCCCTTTTTTTCTGGTAACGTGTGAAAGGGACGGACTATAAGATTATGTAAAGGACGCTCGCGAGAAGTACGGAAGGATTTTGCTGTTTACTTCGGTATTTTATTTAAAGTACAATTTAGGATTCTTTTTTCGAGATGCGAGTTTCTTTCTTTTATACGTTAAAATGTGATTTGTTTGTAGATTGTAAGATGGTAGATTATTATATTTCGATTTTTCGTTTGATGTGATTCTTTATTAAGAATGAAGAAATGTGGAAGTTCAAGTCTTCATGTTCAAGTTGCGACTACTCGTTAAGTAGAAACGCTAAACTGGCAGACACTAATTAACGAAAACAAAACACGACGTTAACTAAAAGAAAAAAAAAACAGCTCTATAGTCCAAAATATGAAAGCGTATAAAACTCTTTCAATGTTTTAACTAAGCTATTTTTATACTTCCAACACTTTAAAACGTGAAATATATTTACAAAAGAGCTGCATCTCACAGCTCGCTTTTTCTATTTTTATTTACATCCGGATCACCGAAATTCGATCCGAGGATCAGTTTTATATGGTTGTTACACCCTCCTAACTGCGCCAGACAGGATGAACTGAGTTTTTGACAAAAATATTTTAAAATATTAATAGAGAGATACTGCTAAAGAACAGGTTCAATATACTCTGGACATGTTTTTATTATCATTTGCATAAATGCGATGTCAGGTAAAGGAGTGTGCCGGGGCTGCGGAGTAAGCGCAAAGAGGCACCGCGGCCTCGGCCCAGAGCAGGAGAAGGAATGGAGGGGTTTTTAGCCAGTAAGAGTCTGACACTCTCCTTACCCTGGGCGAGAGAAGCCCTTGGATGATTATCCCCTGAAAAAAAAAGGTAAAGGAGTGTGTAGCCAGTAGACCACCGCGACGGGGCCCTATAGGGCTGATGTAAAGCCAGGGTTGCGGGGCAAGCGCAATGAGGCACCGCGGCCCCGACGGAAAAGGAACGGGGAGGAAAGGAGGAGGAGTTATTTGATGATTTTCCCCTCACAAAAAAGGTAAAGATGTGTGTAGGGATCCCACTAGTGTGTGTAGTGTCGCTCTGTAGACGCAGTCCCTAAGTGTTTTGGAGTAGACTAGTCTTTTTGCGATAGTCTTAGTCCGATATTATAATGAGAAACGGATGGTTATTAGTTTTTACTATTTGATTACAGTTTCTAATTTCTTGGCATTGTTACATAATAATGGATAATCTAATGGATATCATTTTAATTTTAAGCATAGTCAGTCGACTGCGTGACGTCGCCGCAACACGCATGCTTTTCATAAGTAAGAGCCCCGTTGTATCTTGAAACCAGTAGACCTTTCCTCAGTTGATTTACTTGATTAAATTTTTACTTTTTT